TTTTTTTCTTTTACACACAGAGAAAAAAAATCAACATAAGGCGGGACTTACCAAACTAAAAAAATTTTGTGCAGCCAAAAAAATCCCTGAGTGCAGAGCCAGGAGTAAGCCCTGAGCACCACTGGGTGTGACTCAAAACAAAAACAAAAACAAAAAAACAAAAAAAAAAGATGAAGATGCTTAATGACCACCACCTCTGGTGGACAGGGAAATGCAAATCAAGAGAACGAGGAACAAAATTTTCCTTCACATTCATTAGGATGGCCATGATGAAGAAAAGAAGTAATGGGAGTTGGTGAGGATGTGGAGGGAAGGTAAAACCCAAGTACTGGGAATGCCAACTGTTGCAACTGATGGGAAAACCAGGACAAAGAGGCCAGAGAGGTAGTACAATGGGACGGCACTTGTCTTGCATGCAACTGATCCAATTGGTTCGATCCTGACACTCTATATGGTTCCCTGAGCACCGTCAGGAGCAAACCCGAAGTAGAGTCAGGAGTAAGCCCTGAGTACTGCTGGGTAGAGCCTAAAAAAACAAAGCAAGCAAGCAAACAAACAGAAAAGGAAAAAGAGAAAAAGGAAAAAGGAAACCAGGATGAAATTTCCTCAAAAAATGGCCAGAAATACTATAAAATCTCAACTAATCTATTTGTGAATGTTTATTGGAAGGAAATTAAAACACTAACTCAAAAAGATATATACGCTCAATGTTAACAGCACTGCGACATTAGCCAAGACACAGAAGCTACCTAACACGCATCAATGGATGGATGGACAGAGTCATGGTATTATATTCAATGTACAACATGTCATACAGTTCTATATTCAATGGAGTATTTTTCAGTCATAAAGAAAGAAGGCAATCTGGCCATTAGCAAATCATGGATGACCCTCGAGGGCACTATGCTAAGAAAATCAGAAAAAGATACATACCACATGATCTGTGTTATATGTGGACTCCAAAAGAATTAAAAACAACATCCCAAGCCTCGGTTTGAGGCTCTTCATGTTCCTAGAACGAACAGACGCCATTGGGCTACACTAGCACGCGACAGGGACAAATGGAGACGTTACTGGCGCCCGCTCGAGCAAATTGACGATTAACGGGAAGTCAAGTGATCGAGTGATCCCAAACCCACGGATACATGGAACAGATTGGGGGCAGTGGGTGTGTATGAAGGATGGATATAGTGGGTGAAGGGTGTCAAAAGTCATACACTTCCAGTGATAAACAAATTGGGGCTAGAGAGGTAGGATAGCTAGTAGGGCGGTTGCTTTGCATGTGACTGACCTGAATTCCATTTCGGGCATCCCATATGGTGCCCTGGGCACTGCCAGGAGTAATTCCTGAGAGCAGAGTCAGTAGTAACCCCTGAGTATCACTGGGTGTGGCCCAAAATCCAACTCCCCCCAACTTCCCAACCCCCTAAAAACAGTTATAAAATAATTAAGTTCAGGGTAAGACAGAGTCTGGAGAGAATAATTAAAACCCTCTACTGTACTATCAAAAATTGCAAAGAGAATAAATCTTAAATGTTCTAACTGGGAAGAGATGCCAACTAGACTTCGTGTGGTCCTTTTTCAATATACGCAAGTATTGAACAACTGTCTACGTAAAAGTAATATAATGGTATGTGTCAATTACATTTCAACACACCCCTCTTGGAGATCAATATGTCTATACGTAAAGTGAAAACTATTAAACAGGAGAGACGCACGAGAGACCTGCTACAGTGTGGATGAAAAGTGAAACATTATTTTGGGTGCAGCAGCCAGACACACAGGCGCGGGGAGTCTGCGGCTTAGCCCGGGCAATGGCCACCACAGGCAAAGCCACAGAAGCAGGAAACAGGTTAATGAGCTTCTGTGGCTGGGCCCGGAGGAAATGCGAGGAGATGGCTGTTGCTTTGGGGCTGATGAACACGCTCAGGACACACTGGACGAGAGTCACACATGTGTTGATTTTGGGAAGGAAGGTCATACCAGCTGATTGATTGTACAGAAGGAGAGTGATGAAGAATGTCACAGACACTGTGGCCCCTCGTGGCTCGGAGTGGGGGGAGCAATACCCGGAGTTACTCATCTACCTGGAGACGCTTTGCACACCCCCCAGGACATCCTAGTACCTCTGGCTCTGCCCTCCCAGCAGCTCATTCCCTGCACCCCCACTTGTGGGAGCTGAGTCCCTGAGGACCTGAACCCCTGGTATCTTCCTACACTGGGTGGACCTGCAGAGCAGTGACCAGAAGGGGCCATGGCAGGCCCTTAGGGAAGGGGTGGGCTGTAGCACTGCTTCAGACCAGGCAGGTGGGGCTGCCCGGTGCATCCAGACGACATCCCCCCTCCCCCCCAAAGGCCTGGCCACACTCTCCTTGTCCCGAGCTGCCCTGTCCCTTCCCTACCTGTTGCTTGTTGGCTTCCAGCTTGAAAGTTGTCTTCTGAGGCAAGTGGTACCTACAGGAGACCAGCGGTCTTCCTGGGTTGGGCATGGGCAGCTGGTGCTGAGGGGTCTTGAGGATTCCTGGAGGTACAGAGGCAATAGCTGGGAATTGGGAGTGTGGGCCCCTGCTCCCGGATCTTGAGTCAACTCTCTGGAGCTGATGGGGCCAGAGCAATGGTGCAGAGAAGAGGGCACACGGCCCCTTGCACACGGCCAACCTAGGTTCAATCCCTGGCATCCCATATGGTCCCTCGAGCTCTGTCAGGAGTGATCCCTGAGTGCAGAGCCAGGAGTAAACCCCGAACACAGCCGAGGGTGGCTCCCAAACAAAGCCAAAACAAAAAACTATTCGAAGTTGCAAAGTTTTGGGGTCTCAACAAGCTCCTCTGAGACATGGAGGTGATCATGCCTGCTGAACCATCAGCAATGTGAGGTGTTGTCTGCAGGGTCCTTCCATGTGCTCGGCCCAGGTTAGTCCCAAGACAGGGAGAACTGATAACTGGAACTGGCGAGGGGAGGCTCAGGGACAGGAAGTTACCTGCAGAGGGTACCCTGACCCCGAAAGGCCATGGCCCCCAACACAACTCAGGGCCCCTCAACTTCATCCGTCCCTATTTTCAGGCCCTACTCCCGAGTCCAGCCCAGGTGCCCTGGTGAAGGGGCTCGTGAGCTGTCCACCCTATCTTAGGCAGGGGAGCAAAGTCCCTTCCATGAGAAGCTTGTAGGCGGGGCTGCTGGCAGCTACCTCCAAGGTCAGAGAGGACCTCAGCCCTGGGTAAGGATGGTTTCGCCCCACTGTCTCGGGGACTGCCCACATGTTGGATCACTGTCATTCATGCACACCTGCTACTGTGGGTGGTTGGCGCTGTGACCAGTATGGCCACATGGCCAGCTATCTTCTCTGGTGCCAGATGTGGCCAGATGGTTGCAGGAACTGGGCCAGACCACGTGCACTTTTACTCATTTAGCTCACTTAGGCCCGCCCCTGCTGTTTTTTTTTTTTTGATCTGGCCTGAACACATGTCAGAGACACTCTTGGTTTTCTGTGCACAGCGTTGTTGGAAGATTGGCAGCCTTTCCAGACTAGGATGGCCAGGCCAGATCTGCAGGGGCACATGGGCCTGGAAGAGGCAGGATGGGCCCGGGGTTATGCAGATTGTAGGGAAAGGGTGGGTGGAACTGGTTTTCAGATGAAAGGCAGATTCACTCTCTGGTCCCCACTGCCACACGGATACCTGTCCCTCCTCCCACCAGGATACGGCACTCTCCCCTCTTCACAGGGCTTCCTTAGATGGATGGGTGACTGCCTGATGTCCTCCCCTCTCTTCTGCGCTCTGAGCTGGACACCCCTGTGGCCAGGAAGATGTGATGGGTGGAGAATGCATGGGGCGGGTGTGTGCTGAGTGCACAGCCCAGCGGCGGCAAGCTGCTGATGTCTCTGCAGAATCCCGGAGCGCAGTCCTCCCGTTTCTGCGGGGTAATCGCTCCTACCACTCTGGACAGAGCTGGCCAGTGTTATGGCCTCACACGCGGTCCTCCCACGGCATCTGGAAGTGCGGTTGTTCCGACCACCCCCCTTCCATTGCAGGATCTGATACCCCGTGGATTGGTTGTGCCATGGGCCCCAGGTCCGCAGCCCCTGGCATCCTTAGAGGATGGAAGTACCGTCTGCCCGCGGCCGTCACTGGCACGGGGCTCTGAGGTCGGGGCGCCTGCTCGCGCCAGGTGAGGCGGGGAGCCCGTGCCGCGTTTGCGGCGGGGGACCGGGGGCGAGGTGGACACCCGGACCTCGCGCGCCGGGGGCGGGGCCGGGCCGGCCCGCAGGTGGCCGCGCGCGCCGCAGCCCGGGGGGCGTGTCCGGCTCCGCCCCGCGCGCCGGCCGGGGGGGCGGGGACAGCGCAGGCCCCGCCCTCCCCGCGCGCCGGGTCAGAGCCGGTGCCGGAGCGCAGCGGCGCGGAGCCGGGGCCGCACGCGGGAGCGCGTTCCGCAGCGGGCGGCCCGAGGGAGCAGCTCCGCGACTCAGCCCCGAGCGCCGCTCGGCCCGGGCCCCGGCCCCGGCCCCCGGCCCCCTGCGCGAGTCCCTCGCCCGCCCGGCGCGCGCCCCGGCCCCGAGAGCGACCCGGCCCGGGCGCGGAGCCCGGCCCTTGGAGCGCGGCCTCGCCCGCCTGGCCCGCCGCCGCCGCCGCCGCCGCCGCCCGGCCGCGGGCATGGACGGCGCCCGCTAGCCCGTGAGTGCCGAGCCCCCCGCCCGCCGCCTTTGTGTGCGCGCCGCGCGCCGCGGCCCCTCTCCCCGTGCGCGCCCCTCCTGCGCCCCCCGGTCGCGTCCTTTGTGGAGCCACCGCCCGGCCGGTGCCGCCCGCGGCCGCAGCCTCCGTCTCGGGGGCCGCGGGACCCCCCGCCGCCGCCGCCGCCGCCGCGCGCCCCGCGGGCCTCCCCGGCGGCCCCGCAGCATCCCGCCCCGCGGCGCCCGGGACGCGCCGCCGCCCCAGCCCGTCCGGGCATCCCGCGGGCGGGCGGGCGGGCAGGTGCGCGGCGCTCACCGGCCTGTCCTTGCCCGCAGACATGGACGGCGATGGCGGCCGCCGGGACGCCCCCGGCGCGCTGAGGGAGGCCGGGCGGCGCGGCGGCGGCGGCGCGGGGCCGGCGGGCATGGCGGAGCCGCGGGCGCGGGCGGCGCGGCCCGGGCCGCAGCGTTTCCTGCGGCGCAGCGTGGTGGAGTCGGACCAGGAGGAGGCGCCGGGCCTGGAGGCGGCCGAGGCGCCGGGCGCGCAGCCCCCGCAGCCCCTGCAGCGCCGGGTGCTGCTGCTCTGCAAGACGCGCCGCCTCATCGCCGAGCGCGCCCGCGGCCGCCCCGCCGCCCCCGCCGCCGCCGCCGCCGCCGCCGCGCCCGGAGCCCCGCCCGGCGCCCCCACCGCCGCCACCGCCACCGCCACCGCCCGGCCCGCGCCCGCCGACCACCCCGGCCCCGCGCCCGCCGCGCCCGCCCCCGACGGCCGCCCGGCCGGCCCCGAGCAGGACCCGCCGCCCGCAGCTGCGGCGGCGGCGGCGGCGGCCAAGGAGGACGCGGGGGCCGCCGAGGCGAAGCCCGAGGCCGGGCGCGCCCGGCGGGATGAGCCCGAGGAGGACGAGGACGACGAGGACGACCTCAAGGCCGTGGCCACCTCCCTGGACGGCCGCTTCCTCAAGTTCGACATCGAGCTGGGCCGCGGCTCCTTCAAGACCGTCTACAAGGGGCTGGACACGGAGACCTGGGTGGAGGTGGCCTGGTGCGAGCTGCAGGTGAGGCGCCGCCGCTGCTGCTGCACGCGGCTGGGCGGGCGGGCGGGCGGACGGACGGACGGACGGACGGACGGACAGCCAGCCTCGGTCCCGCGGGGTCCCTGGGGGGCGCCGTGGGTTGTGTGCGCCCGCCGAGTGGGTGGGGGCCGTGCCCAGGTGGAGGTGCGGCAGGTCAGGTGGGGCCGCTTGGGCTGTGCGCAGGTGGGGAGGCTTCGCCCTGCCCTGCCCGCGGGGGTGCAGGCGGTCAGGTGGGACGGTGGCAGCCTTGCCCATGTTGGGGGGAGGTACCGGGGAAGCCTTCTGGGAGAGTGTGTAGTGGCTGCGGGAGAGTGGGCACTTGAAGGGCGTGTCCCTCCTCGGCTCTTGGGGCCTGACCTCCGCCCACCAGACCCTTGTCTCTGCAGAAGCAAGGTGGGAGGGCTTTTCCACCAGGCTTTTGCCAGGCTGGTGGTCTGGTGACCTGGAAACTCAGGCTGCCCTTTTCCAGCAGCTGTCAGTGTAGGACGCACTGCAGGAGTCCCACCTGGGCACAACCCCGGGTGGGCTTCTGGACTGAGTGGGCAGCAGCTCCGGTGGGCAAGGTCTGGAAGGGAGCAGCCCCCCCACCTCGCCCTGCACCCTCACCTATACCACCTGTGCCATCGTATCCCAGACCGTGCAGAGGGGCCGGGTGGGTTTGCATGTATTTCTGAGTAGGGGGTTGCGATGCATTTTTCATGACCGGGCCACCACCGCACGTTGGCTGTGCCAGCCCCAGGCCTGAGAGATTATATAAACGTAACCTGAGCTGCCCGGGGCCAGCCCTGGGAGCTGGGACTATGCCTGTCACAGCGGGTGTTTACAGCCCTCCCCTGTATTTTGGGGGGGGTCAGCTGCTGGGCACAAGGCGGCCTGCGTGTGCGGGTGTAAGCCTACCCGGGCGCCTGTAAAGTTAGCTGCCCTCCCCGGCCTGACGCAGGCGCTCGCCTCACTGCAGGACGCCTGCCTCTCTGGCTCGCAGATGCCTTTGGGTCTCTGCCCTCTGGGCCCGTGCACGAGTGTGTGCGTGGGAGCAGGGCCCAGTGTGGTGGGCGCTGACCTGACAGCCACCCTTTCCCGAGACAAAGAGCTGGGAAGCTGCCCCTGCCCACGGCCCCTTGGTCTTGCCAGGGGAATGTGGGCAGCCCGTGGAGTCCTTCAGGAGGATGAGAATATGCCCCTTCTTCCTGCGGGCTGGCCGCAGGTTCTGGGCCCGCAGCGGTTGGTGGGAAAGGGGGTTTTGGGCCGTGGTGTGGAGGCCCTGGAGTGCTGGCAGTGAGTGGGGTCTGTGCTGGCCAGGGCTGAAAGAGGGCAGCGGGGAGGCGAGGTGCCCCGTGGCGGGGGCTGCAGTGGGCAGGCTCCCTGCAGGACCTCCCCGCAGAGCCCTGCCGATCTCCTCGGGCACTGCAGCACATGTGACTCTCAGGACGGGCTGTCTGTTCCCGGCCCTTTAAGGAAAGGCAAGAGCTCCTGTCCCGGGGGCCCCCAGTAGAGTGCCCAGGGGAGGAACCTGGCCACTGTTCAGGGGTCATTTATTCCTGGACTCCGGTGGGAGTGGGGAGGCTAAAGATGGCCTCTCATCTGTCTGGTGATGCTCCTGACTCCCCGAAGTCACTGGGGGGCCCAGACCTGGGAGGAGCTCTCACCCTCCACCCCGCCCCCCGCCCCCTGCCCAGCACAGAAGGGTCCTGTGAGTGCTGCTGTGGGCCCATGTTCAGGGGGACACTGAGGGTGTCCCATGGGAGGGACTGGCCCAGCCCAGGGTGCCCTCCTGGCTGAGAGGTGCCCTGGGTCCAGGGTCCCCTCATGGAACTGCTTGTCCTTTATGCTGTCGGGGAGGGCGTCGCTGCCCAGGGGGGTGGTAGTGGCCTCGCCCCGCCTGGGAATGATGCTGACTGGGGCGGGGGGCAGCAGTGCCTGGCGTTTGCTGCTTCTGACTGCGCCGGGGCTTCTCAGCCTTTCCACCGACTCTGGGGCTGCCGGGTTTGGATGTCTTCTTGGAGAGTGGGGGTGCTGGGCACTCTTCCGGATCGCTCCACCCCTCTGCCCTCCCTGCCTCAGCACCTAGAAGTACTTCAACAGTAGCTTTGGGATGCTCCAAAAGCTACCCCCCTCCCCCTCTTCCCGCAGTCTGCTGCTCTCCTTTCTTTGCTGCATAGCCACCCCTCTCTTACTTTGGAAGGGTCACCCCCAGTAGTGCTCAGGGGACCGTATGGGATGCTGGGGATCGAACCCAGGTCAGTTACATGCAAGGCAAATACCTGGTGCTTCTCCAGAGTTCTCTGCTGAGGGAGGAGAGGCCCATTTTGGGGGTGGTTCAGCCCCCCCGCCCCCCCCCCCCGGGAGGATGGAGGGATATCCAGGATTTCCAATTTCCTCTCCTAAATTAGTGTTGAGAGCTTTGTGAGGGGGAGCAGCGGGCTTCTCTCAGATCCACAGGGCAGCGGGAGCTTTACCCTGCCGCCCTCACTCAGGCCTCTAGCCTCTGAGGTTTTAATTTTTTTGTGGGGGGATAGCCATTTAAAAAAATATTACCTCTTCTTTCCCTTTCGGATGAACCTTCTTTATCCGAGGCACATTACCACAGTAGGAGGATGTGGAAATGCACCTCTTTATTTTTTACCTTTTTTTCCCTTTCTTTTGGGTTATGCCCAGTGGTGCTCAGGGTTTACTTGTGACTCTGTGCTCAGAGATCCCTCCTGGCATGACTTGGGGGACCCTGTGGGGTGCTGGCGATCAGACCTGTGTCCGCTGGGTGCAGGGCGGGCGCCTCACCCCTGTGCTGTCTCTCAGGCCTCTGCCCTGCCGACCCACGTGCCCCTGGGCTCCATCTGGTCTCGCACAGCCTCGTCTGACCAGGGAGTTTGTGGGGCTGCAGGTGTCCCCTGGAGCTCTGAGCTGCCTGGGGTCCCCTCAGAGTAGCCACGGGGAGTTGTGTGTTCACAGTGTCCTTGCCCTCCTTGAGGCCCTGTGTCCCTGTCAGCTGTCCAGGGGGCCATTCTGGGCGCAGTGGCCCCCACCCCGTGCCTCAGTGGGCTCTCGCCTTGTCTCCAGGAGACTCCCTTGGCCTGTCCTGCAGTGCTGACCGGAGCATATCCCGGACTCAAGAGTGTCAACCTGCTGGGCAGCCTCAGGCTGCTCTGAGAGATGACCCCAGGCAGGAGGCTTGGTGCTGTCCCGGGAATCAAAGCAGCTGGCCTGGGGTGGGGGTGGGGGGGCAGTGGGGGACGTGGGCAGCTCTGCGGTCAGGTCAAGGCTCAGCTCACTGAATGGGATGGCCATGGCACTTTCCTGGTTGTCATCATCTCAAGGATCGACCTTTGCCTGGGAGAACTCTCGCTTTGAGTCACCCGCGGCCAGCACCCAGCCTGCCCTTCAGAGGAGAGGTGGGCGTGTGGTGTCCCAGCTGCTGCTGTGGTTTGGCTGGCAGGGGAACTGGGCACTGGGGGTGTCGGAGGTGCTCTCCCCATCCCACCTGGGCAGAAATGGGGCTGATTGTGCTCCGCTGTGCGCCGCAAACCCGCTGTTGTGTGGTGAAGGGTGGAGGCTGTCAGCTGTGGGTTGCTCTTCTCTGTCAGGCTGGGCACTCCCAGGGCCAAGCGTGTCCCTTTTCTGGTTGTCTGCAGAGGTCTGTCCTGTGGTGTGGGTGCGGGGCTGAGCCCGTCTTTGGCCTAAATTCCCATATGACCTGGGGGTCCACCCCTGGACAAACTTGTGTGGATGGCTGATGGGCCACCTGCAGGAGGTCGCTGGGGGATTCTCTGGGGCAGGCTGAGCTGTGACTAGACTCTGTTCAGTCAGAGAAGAGGTGGTCAGTGAGAGGATTGTGGAGAGGAGAGGGTGTAGAATGTTCTGGATGCTGCTCCCTGCTGCAGACCCCGTGGCACTGTCTTTTGTGGCTTCTACTAGCATTTGTGATTTGTGTGTCCTGGTTCCTGCCCAGAGATCGTGACCAGTGTCCTGGGACCCCCCGGGATCATGCAGGGCATTTGGTGGTGAGCCTAGGAGGGCCCGGCCAGTGGGAGAGACTGCTCAGAGGAGCGGGGGGTGGGGGGGCCGGGGAGCCCGAGGGAGTCTGGGGGAGCTGGGCCCTGCTTCATGCTGCTACTCAGGTTGCAAAACAGCCATCCTCGCCCCATGCAGGGTCAGTGTTGTCTCCTGAGCAGAGTCTGTGGCTTGGTGCGTCTTCAGGCCAGAGTTGGAGGATGCCCAAGGTGACGGCACTGTGCTCGGGTCAGTGCTTTGATAGAGGAGTGTTTAACCCAGGCCTTTGCGGTCTTTGTGGACTGGGTGTCCGCGGTGGGGGTGGGGGACGGCTCTGGGGCATCACAGCCCTGTCCTTTCGGGAGCCTCCCGCTTCCAGGCCACCCCCCACCCACCCAGCAGCTTCCCCTTGGGTGTGCCGTGGTTTCTCCCCTTGCTCCATCCGTGCAGCTAGTGCTGGTTGACCACCACAGGTGTGTCAGCCCCAGGGCGACACTCAGAGTAAAGGCTCCTCTTCACCTTAAAACTCAATGGCCCTGCAGGGAGTTTTCAAAAGCCAGCAATGGGTTACCCCCCTCCCCTCCCACCGCCTCACCCCCGGGTGCAGCAGGCCCTGGGCGCTGCTGGTGGCCTCAGCTGCAGCCCTGCCCAGCTCAGCACCTGGCTGCCTGCCTTATCATCTGAGTTGCAGATAAGGGAAGGGTGTGAACCCAGCAGCTGGAGTTTCTGAGGAGCAAGTCAGGATCTGCTCCATGCTGCTCACAGTGCCGGGGCTGTTTGGGGAGCTGGTGCGGGCGAAGTCACCTGGGCAAGGGGCATGGCCCCTTTGGGCAACTGCCGGTATTTCATTTCAAGCCATTTTCAAAGTCAGTTCTGTTCCCTGCTGGGTTGAATCCTAAGGATTTCCCAGAATACTTAGCTTCTTATACTTGTCATTGATGTCAGCTGTGTATATATATGTGTGTGTGTGTGTGTGTGTGTGTGTGTGTGTATCTATA